GTAAGGGTTGCAAATACCTCAACGACCTTAAGCTTGATTGTGACCTTTGGGTCAATAGGGGGTCAAAGGTCAAGGTCATTTATCAAGGTCAAAGGTCAAGGTCATCCATAAAAAAAAAGAAAGAGTGAAAGATAAACTTGAGATTAACACTTGAAGATGAATCTAGATAAAGGTAATGAATATTTCTTTATTACTTTTTGAGTTAGGGGTCAAGGTCAAAGGTCAAGGTCAAATATCAAGGTCAAGGTCATTTGGATTTTTTAAAAATAGCTTAATCGACAATTTCTCTAGTATTCCAATGACCCTGACCTTTGACCTTGACCTATTCTTCAAGGTCAAAGGTCAAAAGATCTCATGCAGTTGGGCCCATGTCTTTACGACTTGTCGTTAAGAAGTTTTTAGTTCTTCGTAAACATCATCAACTAGCAGGGGCAATAACTACTTAAAATGGTTTACGAATTCTTTTGCACTAATGGAATGAGAAGTGTTCTAAATTAGTAGCAGACATTGTTGAAGGTTTTGTACCTCTACGGTTTACGGTTTCGGAGGAGTAGCGATAACAAGGGTTTACACTGAAGGGGGCACTAACTTTTAGAGGGGTCAATCTTAGGGGACAAGAATGAAATCTCTGAAATGGTTTTAAGAGTACATATTGAAGATGCAAAGATGTTTAGAATTTGGTTAAGAACAAAAGAGCTATTAAAAATGCTTAATTTTACATATTTTGAATGACCTTGACCTTTGACCTTGACCTAGATTTTAAGGTCAAAGGTCAATGAATCTTTTGCAGTTGGTCCCATGTCTATACGCCTTGTCGTTTTAGAAAAGTTCTTGATATTCGTAAACATTGCAAAAATTCAGGGGCAATAATTTGTTATAAGAGCTTACGAATCCTTTCGCAATGTTTGATTGGAGAGTCTACTAAATTAGTCGTAAACATTAATTTAGGTTTGGAATCTCTGCGGTTTACGGTTTTGGAGAAGTAGACATTTCTTGCGAAAGGGGCAATAACTTCGAAAGGGGTCAAAGTTCTAACATAGGGGGTCGTTTTTCGGAATAACTTTTAATATCCAGTATCATGAACTATAAAGTTTTTCGATAAGTCTTACGGTGTCAAAACATAAGGTGAGAAATAAAATAAAAAACAGAAGCATTTCAAGAGGTCTTTCCACAGAAAGGTGGAAAGACCTAACTAGGAGACTTATTGTTCACAGAACAATAAGAGGTCTTTCCACCTTTTGAATTTCAATTTTATTTAATATTTATCTATTTAAAATTAAATTTCATTAAAAAGAAACCAGGAATGGCTTAAAAGAAGAAAAAAAATGAAAATGAATTTTTTTTAGGTGACCTTGACCTTTGAACTTCAAGTCATCTTCAAGGTCAAAGGTCAAGGGTCACATTGCAATTAACCCCATGTCTCTATGACTTATAGTTTTAAAGTTACAAGGTTTAATAGTAAGCACAAAAGCATTTAAGGGCAGTAACTCATTCAAGGAGTCACCAGATCCTTTTGTACTTGAACATAAAAGTTTTGCCTAAAGTCCCATAAGACATTAGACAAAGTGTCGTGTCTTTGCGGTTTACGGTTTTGGAGCAATAGCAATTAAAATGTTTTTCGTACAAGGGGCAATAACTTTTAATAGGGTCAATCTTAAGGGACGACAATGAAATGTAAGTAACAGTTTTAAAAGTACATATTAATGATGCATAGACATTAAGCATATGTTGAAAGACAAAAGAGATATAAAAAGAGCTAAATTTCTAAGTTTTGAAATGACCTTGACCTTTGACCTTTACATGAATTTTAAGCTCAAAGGTCAATGAATCTTATGCAGTTGGGCTCATGTCTCTATACCTTCTCGTTTTGAAAATTTTTAATTATTTGTAAAATTCAAAGTATTTCAGGGGCAATAACTCATTGAAGAAGTCACCGAAGACTTTCACAATGAATAGATTCCAGAATCCTCTCAATTAGTCGAAGACTTTAGTGAAGGTTTCATATTTGTACGGTTTATGGTTTCGCAGTAGTATCGATAACATGGTTTTCCGCACAAAGGGCCATAACTTTTAATAGGGTCAATCTTATGCAATACTAATTGAATCTTTAAAATCACTTTAAAAGTACATATTAATGATGCTAAGACAGTTTGTATATGTTAAAAGACAAAAAAGATATAAAAAGAGCTTAATTTCTCAATTTTGGAATGACCTTGACCTTTGACCTTTACATGAATTTTAAGCTCAAAGCTCAATGAATCTTATGCAGTTAGTCCCATGTCTCTATCACTTCTTGTTTTGAAAATTTTTAATTATTTGTAAAATTCAAAAAGTTTCAGGGGCAATAACTCATTGAAGGAGTCACCGAATACTTTCGCAATGAATAGATTCCAGAATCCTCTCAATTAGTCGAAGACTTTAGTGAAGGTTTCATATTTCTACGGTTTACAGTTTCGAAGGAGTAGCGATAACAAGGTTTTACATAAAAGGGGCAAGAACTCCGTAAGGGGTCATAGGTCATATACGTTGGGTTGTTTTTCGAAATAACTTTTGATGTCGAGTATCATGAACTAAAAAGTTTTTTGATAAGTCTTTCGGATCAAAAGTCCGTAGCGGAAAAATAATAAAAATAATAATAATAATAAACAGAAGCATTTCAAGAGGTCTTTCCACAGAAAGGTGGAAAGACCTAATAATAAACAGAAGCATTTCAAGAGGTCTTTCCACAGAAAGGTGGAAAGACCTAATAATAATCTTTACCAACAGAATCAGTAGAAGGTCTTCCGTTGGAAACGGAAGACCTTAATAATGATTATGTTTGTTTTTAAGAAAAAATCCCAAATGACTTGTCTTTTCTTATGTTTTATTGTCGTGAAAACTGCCAAAAATCTTTTTACATTCTAACAATGCAAGCAGAATTTTGTTCTTTAACGAAAATAATTGGAAACAAAATTTTGATTCTAATTTTGTTGGATAGCTAGCTAGCCAAAGCTTTCAGCAGGTCAACCGTCGACTAGAAATATAATTACCTTGTTTAACTTTCGATTACTTAATACTTACTTATTTTTCTTCCAATTTCTCCTTTTATTTTATTCATTAATATAACAAATGGAGATAACGCACAGTAGCCAAGCTCAAAAGTCCATAAAACAATACAAAATAGGAGAAGAGCTCCAAAACATCAGATATGGGATGAGGTGCCATGGAGATTGAGTAATTCCTACCGACGTCGACCGTTCACACCCGCCGTGTGCTCCTTGTTATGATCGGGAAATAACGGAAGAATCTGACGTCAATTTAGTGTGTAAATAATATTTGATAAAATAAATGGTTTTGCTGCTAATCGATTCCTCACGTGTTGCAAATTAAGATACACCCTCAGAGAGACTCACCTTGGGTAGCAATATATCGCCTTTTCCCTTCTACATCCTACAAAAATACATTTTTGATTCATTTGAATTCCTTATTCTCTGTTCATTCATTAACGCAGATGTACCCCGAAATTTCGATTAAAAAGGACATTGTTGCAATTTTATTGTGCCTAGTTGTAATGGAATCCTCCTTAATAATAGGAAATATTAGCAAAAATTATAAATATGTTGATTTTTTAATGAAAATACACGGATTATCATTATTTTGTATCTGGACAAAACTCCTGTTAAAGTATGCTGATTTTTTTGTGTAAGAATGTTTTATGGTATCTAAAATTGACATGTATCACAAAAAAATTATCAGTGGAAAAGGTACATCGTAGAGTCTGTGCACATATACGCTGCAGATGTCCTTAAATGTACATATAAGTGATACAAAAATATTTTTATGGGTAAACTGTAGATTATATCAAATAAAGAAATATTGAATAAATAGTACCTTTATGTAATTTGCATTGATGTAGTCATTATCTGCGGAAACATTCAACACCACGCGGGAATGGTCATCTTAAGAGAAAGATAATATTCAGATATTCACTTTAAATTGTATGTAATGGTTATAAGCCGAAAACTGTCCATTATGTCAGATATTAGACAACCCGAGGCTCGTTAGCGCCGAGGAGAGCCTAATATCGGACATAATGGTCAGTTTGAGGCTTATAACTTGCTTAAAACATTTCACCACTGTCGAACACTTCATTGTTAACTTATTGGACAGTCACAGGTAGGGTCTCTGCTTGGATGACTACCTGGCACTGTTCATCAAGTTAGGCCAAAGAAAACCAGTGTTTGTTTTTCTTCTGTCTTTATTAATAGTAGGAATCATCGAGAGGTGTTTTACATATCGATAAATATGAACATTAACTTTGTTTAGTCTTATTTATTCGCATTGCGACATAATATACCAAGCCAGATGAATTTTAAGAGGAAGATCGAAATGACAAGAAATTGGCAATATCACATAGGCTGATTTTTACCATTTAACTTTTCCTGATAAAATTCATCTGGCTCGGTATATTTTTCTTAAGTTTATATTACACATTTAGCGCCAAGATATCATATTCTGAAATTTATTTTCTCCTGTAAACCTTTACTGAATGTGATTTGTCTATACGTGTTTTTTCATTGAAATATTACTAATATTTTCAAAGTCTTTTTCATATTCCAGTTCTTCGGAGAAAAAATTCTAAGAACCATCCACTTTTCTAAACTTGTGACATGATATTGAATCTTTTTCAAGGAAAAAATTTGTTTGTATCATCTGTCCTTAAAATCAGCATGTTCATAAGATATTTTTTTAAAATAAGAAAATAGAAACTCGGAATATGAAAATGAAACAAGAACTAAAAGAACTAGAGGAAATTTCATGACAAATGTTAAACTTAGGCAAATTCTAAATATTGTACAATTTCACTTGTTTGATTTAACTTTATTTTTGCTTTTTTATATGATACAATTAGAATTTGAATTGCAAATTCATGAATATATTTTTGGCTTGACTTTTAGCTGGCATCGTAAGAATTATTTATTTTGATACATGTACTACACTTGTATGGAAAGATATTTGAATTAATTTGATTTATTCTGATTTACCTCAAATTCCTCAGTGAATTTCTTATTTTCTTCCGACGAAAATATTTTGATTATATTTTCAAGATCAGCTATTTTGATGAGTGTGTTTGTTGGACCGTTGTCTGTCACGATGTACTCTAGTTCAGCATTTTCTTGTACATGTCCACCGTTTGCAGAATTGTTTACATTAACATTAGTTTCATTTTCTAGCAAAGGTAAAATTAATATTCTAACACATATGTTCAACAGATTAATATTTAATTTTAAAAACGGACAGGGCTGCATGAAGAGTGAAATATAGAGACTGTTTGTCATATCTTTAATTTGTACATTTTGGAGAAACTTTTATAATTCCAAAAATTAGCTTCATTTCCTCGTTATGCAATTTTCTGTTAATATTTATGTATCATCACTGTTAAACGATAATCCATATGTTGTTTCTTATTGAAAAGTGTAATTGAAGGCAATATGCATAATGTAGTATTTTTTAAAGGTTTTTAATAGATGTATACATGTAAAGGTATAACATACCGTTGCTATATAATTTATTCCTCTCTGGAAGATCCAAATCAGCAGCTTTCTTCTGCCTTGCTTTTCTAGAAAAAAAAATATATATCTATAAATTTTGGAAATTGAAATCGATGAAAAGACTGCATACTAGAGTTTCTAAAAAGATAGTATGGGGACATATTACTGTGTTTATTCACAAAAGAATTCTCTGAACCCACTTACCTCATGAGAACAGTCACTAAAGCAGTGAGTGCTATGACGACAATTATAGTAATTGGTATACCTACTCCTGCAGCAGGCATTGTCGAATCCTGTGCTTGGGATTCTGCAACTGAATTGTTCCTCTTAAATTAATAACACCATATTTTATAGATATAATATATCTTACGATATCCCAAGTAGTTACTAGTACGAAAAAAGTATCTTTTAGCCTTATGAGCATACGTGTCTAATCCAGATCAAAGTTTGAAGCCGTTAATTCAACGCATTTAATGACAGCCCTATATGACTACAGTATAGCGTTCTCAAAGGGATTTGAAGTGAAAAAAATTAAATCTAATATTCTGCATCAAATGTTTAAGAATATGACCTAACACAAATCATATTTTACGATTATTATTTATGATTATTTAAATGCAATTTTACATATTCTAGATAGATAAGTAGTTGATATGTCGTATTATGTTCGTTTGACCAAGTACAACATCATATGCGTGAAAATCAGAATAGTCAACGTTTGATAAAAGTAGCATTTTTAAAATATATTTTTTTTACTAATTTTCTGATAAGGGTGTTCGGTAAGTTAATAACACTGACAGTGTATAGTTTGAGAATGTAAATTAAATACAGACAGTGTAGAATACTTATATGTATTTACACATGAATATAACAAATTGCTGTGTAATCTTTTGATACATTGACGTATTTTAAAATTTTTGTTCATATTTAATACAAATGGTTAGTTACATGTACATGTACATGTAATATGAAGAAAATGCATACACATTCATTTATACAAGTTCTCTACCCCTTAGGAAACAAATTTCATTTGTAATATTTACTCTAGTGTACCAGTTATATTGCAGAAGTCTCCTATATACCCCGATAGGCACTGATCACATGTTCCAATTTTCTTATTGCAGACTGACAAACAACCTTTAGCACAAGAGTTATTGCAACTGAATCCAAATGCCCCGTCCTCACATTCTGAATTAAAAGCACATACTTAAATTTTTTGAAGATACAAAATCATAGACAAAGACAAAAATCAATTTAATTGAAATAAATCGAATTTCTACCGTTATTAGATTTTTTATATCCTTATGAGGCATGATTATAATTTTATGAATACTTGTATGAGAACAAATAAAGCACGTTGCCTTGAAATAATCACACACATACCGATGTCACATTTCTCTCCTTGATATCCAGGTCCACATTGTCCTGGACAGGAACCGTTGATATGACGACAGGTCTCAGTACCTCCACAGTGACCACACTTTTCCTGGCAGTCTTTGCCATACCACCCGATACTGCATGCTGTAATAACAATTTTCAGATAGGAGTTTGATTTTTTAAAAGTTTATTATAGTTATATTGTACATGTGTCGATATCTGATTTAATCTATAAATATCTTTTTCGATCGTATCATTTTTAATGGAGTAGATATTGAAAACAATATTATCTGTTAATCTGCCACAAGCTGCCTTCAAAGCAGAGGCAGATATATTATTTATCATAATTGACCTATGATAACGATATTGCTTTTTTACATAAAACGAGCCAAAAACCAATCAAACCAAATTCTAACCGTCTATTGAGTTATGTCTTTCTCATCTTAATCAAAATCATCTGGTCTACTTACGTTTATTGCACTGGTCATTTGTCCAACCGTCTTTACATCCTCCAAAACAAGCCCCGTTGATTTTATTGCAGTGTAATTTCTCTTTGCATTGTCGGCTGCAGCTGTACATACAATGCTTTCCAAAGGATCCATATTCACACTCTATAAACGGATATATGTGTGGACAAATTATTTTAAAGTATCTTTTAAACATGAAAATGTCAGCATCAACAAAGATGGACCCAAATGAAACTAATATTATAAATCAAATTAAGTTTCACAAAATGTGCATTAAGTTAAGCAAAGGCTTTAGTTCAACTTTTAAATTTAAAATGCTTTCTAGTCCACGAGGTGGTTGATACATATAGGTATATCGATGCCTAAAATGAATTTGACAAGAAAACATTGTGTGCTGACCTGCTGTTAGCAGTTTACGTAAACGAAGGGTCACCTAAACACATGTAATTGTTTACTAAAGTAGGTTATTTTTTACCTTTGTCACATCGTTTATCTTGTGTTTTCTTCCATCCTGGTTGGCAGAGACCAGAAGGGCAGGAACCGGTCACGTGATCACACGTTGCGTTCAAAGCACAAAATCCACAGGACAGACTACATACTGTACCATAGAATCCTTTCTTGCATGCTGTAAATATAGCAGATACTTTTTCCATGCAGTATAAAATCTTTATAGTATAGACTGTGTGGTTCTTTGAAATAAAATATGTATACATGACAACATATGACAGATAAACATTAGGTTAATGCTTAATGCCCTCGTACGTCAATTGTTTTCTGTTTAGAAAAACATCTTCTGCAAACAATTTTTTTTCTTAGAATAGTTTCAAATATATTTAAAACAAAGATAACATATTCTTCCTTTGAAAATGTAAAGTTTTTAGTTTCCGACTTTGTGTTCAGATTTGTTTTCTTTTGGTGGCTCATAACAGCCACTAGAGTGTTTAATTCGTAATCTAGGGGGTTGTGTTTCAGCAAAACTATTATATTTTTAGCCTAGAATGCTCTATGCTACACGTAAGGCACTACTCAATGCATTTTTGCATATAAAATAAGTGAAAGTGTACAAGAGCACTTTTCCAGTATTCATATATTCCGATCATATATAAAAATGAACACAATGGTGAAATATCCAGAAATAATAGGCTCTAATTGCAAGACATCTTCAAACGTTAAAATAAATCACGTAACTGAATGCACCATAATCATCCTTTCCTAAAATACAACTCATATTTACTTTCATTGCAGTTAGGCAATATCCATCCATCTTCACAACCTCTGGGGCAGACACCGTCGGTTTTGTTGCAATGCAATCCCTCTGCACAGTGTCCACTACAGTTTTTCTCACAGAAATCTCCAAAGGATCCTTTATCGCATTCTGGAAAAATGATTAATTCAAAAAATTAATATGTTTTCTCTACAAGACTTAAACATTTGAAAAGAATCCTCAATATACATGTACCTTTATCGCATCTCTGGTCGTCTTTTTGTTTAAATCCAGGCATACAGTCACCGAAAGGACAGGAACCGTTCACATGGTTACAATGTGCGTTTCTGGCACATTTACCACAGGGAAATCTACATTCCCTTCCATATAAGCCATGACTGCACGCTAGAAAGAAGGTTCTTTTTTGTTACATTGAACTATAAAAATGAAAGACTTTGAACAGTTATCCCTCCCAATTGAAAAGCAGAACCATTGTCAGTTAGGTTGAGATGAATTAAGATTACTATATGTATATTCAATATAAATACAATCTCATTTCAAAAACAAAAGAATGTTAAAGAAGAACAAAAATGTAAGGTCAAAGCAGATCAATTAAGAGCCCTTTGGGTACTACAATATATCCAAATCATATCGTGCATTAACATTGGTACCGTATAAGAATTTTGTTTTCGCGAAAAGTCGCGCTTAATTTTTTTTTATGTAATATTAATATATCAGAAGAATACAGAAACTGTAGGTTTAGAACACATTTTTTATTGAATAATGTGTTATGACAGTTTGTTTCAAAGGAATTATGCGAATACATGTATATATACGCTCATATATATAAAATCGGTTCTAATTTTACAAAGACAAAATATTTATATTGATTATACTATGAGTTCAGTGTATCTAATTCAAGTTTCTACAAGTTTCAGGACACCATATATTGATAATTACGGATCAATTAGAGAAAAAAATACCTCTTGCCAAAATTGGTCCTTAGAACATAGAGCAATTTCACTTCAATTTATCAAAACACTACTAGTACATGTATACATTTTAACTCATACATTTAAGATAAATGAAGCAATCCTTCAACATTTACTTTTTGAATTGATAAAAATGTCACCATCGCATTTTAAAGGTCATACGCAAGGAAATAGCCAAACAAAATGGACTTATTCTTTTTTTTTTTAATTTTTGGCATTTTTTTAGGCCCACAGTATTACATTTGGACTCATGTACTAAGCATATCGTATCTGTAGCAGAATTATCCCACTGAATTAAAAGGGAATTTTTTATGGTGTGCATGATGAAATTTCCTAGACGGTGTGTAGACTATTTGTCAAGATGTGAAACCCACGTGTATTTCAGGAAAGGTATGTTTACAGTCAATTTTCATTATTGAAAGCCACATATTTCAAATTTTTGTTTACGCATTAATCTTCATTTTCTTTGTCATGAATTATCTGCTGAGAGTCTAATTCATTAAATAATTTAATTCAAGCTATATAAAAATATAAAGTTAAATTATGTCCTTGTGTGAGACCTTAAAATAACTTGAATTCAAATAGGAAGCGATATATCTATATTGCATAGAGCAAAATTATATACAGTATACCTTAGACTGTTAAGCTAAAATACTCATTTTGTTATATTTCTTTTATGTTGACTAACTTTCATTGCAATAGGGATTCATCCACCCATCTGCACATCCTCCAGGACATCTTCCGTCTGTTTTATTACATGGCAACCCCCCTCTACAATGTCCACTGCAAGTTTCCTCGCAGTTTTTTCCAAACGTTTTGTCATCACATTCTGAAGTAAAATATGTAATTGAAAACAATTTTTCTCTAATTAAAGATCATGAACATCTTGAAAATGTTACCACCATACCTTTATCACAGCTTTTATAGGAGAAACTTTTAAATCCGGGTGCACAGTTTCCTAATGGACAGAAACCTGTCACGTGATCACATGCTGATTTGTTGGCACAGTGTCCACATGGATTAATGCAGTTCTTTCCATAAAAGCCTTCATTGCATTCTACAATATTTAATATTTCACAATGTATTCTGAAATATCGAACACACTGGAAGTTAGAGCTCAAGTGCAAAAAAAATTATAAAATTAATAAAAAAGAGAATTTTTTAAAGATAATCTTAAATGTAAAAAGTGCTAACGTTTACCATGAAGTCCAACATAAACATATACCTGGCAAATTGTAAATATTATAAATACAATAATTACATGTAGCATATAACAACAACACCCATAGTTTTTCATTGTCGCAAGCATTAGTAATAAAATATTCAAAGTGAAATATTTTATATCAAAAGAATATTTCCCTTCAAAGAATGACTCTTTGTCTTAAATTTAATTTCTTTTAATAAATCTATTAAATCGTTTATTCAATGAATGATGAAATGATACTTTTTAACTTCGAAGAAACAAAACTCAGTTTCCCTACATGTTCAAAGTTGAAGTCATCTTAAATGTTACTTTTAATAGAAAAAAAATTAAATGTGAAGCTCTTTAAATCTTTGAATATTTGCATTTGTTACAAAGCTCAACAATAGAAATTTATCTCACAAGTTACTCATACAAGTTAGCGATCAAAGAAAAGTCTAATTTTCAGATTTATTTATTACAAATTGTACAAAATTAATTTACTTTTACTGCAGCGCGGAGTTCTCCATCCATTTGTACAACCAGCATCACAGATCCCGGTCGTTTTGTTGCATGACAATCCTCCTGTGCAATGTCCACTGCAGTTATGCTTACAGTTCAATCCAAAGGTTCCATTCGGACATTCTAAAAACCAAATAAATAATATAACTGTTAAATGTATATTAAAAGACTACCGGTTCTATGAAATTTGAAAGTACATACACACCTTGATCGCATTTTTTTCCCTTTCTTCCGTTTTTTCCCAGTGTACTTGTCCACCCTGGTTCACACTTTCCAGAAGGGCAGTTGCCATTTTTAAAATTACATGCTTTTTTGTTTGCGCAACGTCCACAGGATTTCGAACAATTCTTACCGTAATAACCCTTATTACATGCTGAAATGAATGATGAGTAACACGTTAAAATCATTAAGCATTAAGGATTCATGTTCGAAAGACAGAAAAGTGATCTTTAGACTAGAGGCATTACCTATGTGTGTATAAATTAATTTGGTTACAACAGTATCCATACATATAGGGAAACCCATTCTCTCAAGGATCTGCTGTTGGTTTTTTTTTTTGTTCACATCGATTTCTAAATACTAGTTACCGATTTTCATTTTATTTCCTTTTTAAAGAGCTAAGTTCACGAAGTGCAAAAATCCGCCTAGTCATCAAAATAAGTGAAACTTCCTGAAATTATACTCGAAGATTTGTCTGTTGTAAAACATTTTATTTTTTAAGAATATCTTTTCTGGTTTTCTTTTTACAGCCGTTTCAATTTAGCATTGTTTTCTTAATCAATGCTGTCACGTCATTACGTTGACGTTATATGTTTCAACACCGTGACGTTGACGTTTTGTATAAAAATAACACATAAACGTTTATGGAATAAATTCAACAATATAGGCCATTCTTCAAAATCTTAAAATTTTAGGACAATGTTTCTATGAATTTTTAAGAAGTTCTGAAAAATGGATTGTTTTTTTTTTTTTTAATTTATCTGTAATTCAAAGAAATGAGAACTAGTTGTTATATATTTATAAATAATGATTGAGTGGAAAAACCGTGGATACATGCAACACCTTTTAAATGAAAATAAGGGGCAGATTAAGTTGAACACTAACACAAAGTGTAAATTTATCATATCTGAGTAAAACTGAATTTTTTGTAGTACAATATATACTATGGTAGCCATGGAGGAAACGGATTATAATATCCTTAAATGTGTTATTATATGGTCCTACGGCATACAAACTTAAAAAATAGAGATTTTGACAGAGAATAGACAAGTGTTCTTTAATAACGAAAACATCAAGCTTAAAAAAAAATGCTTAATAAAAAATGAATATGTTTGTTGTTAAATCATCATTTATTATATTGTCATTTAAAGATTTCGCTGCACTTCCTTAATTTATGGCATTTCCTGAAGATTTGATATGTACACAGTTTTTACATGTAATACACGAAAAATAGTGACAATATTGAAGGCTACATATGTATCTTACGCACACAGAGCAGTATATATATTTAGGAGAGAAACCACAATAGTAGACTCTTAAACAAAATTGATGCAAAGCAGGCGCACGTAGCATCGTCTTTGAAAGAGAAAAGAGGGGGGGGGGGGCGGCCAGAGAATTTTTTTTCACTTACTTGACAAGCAAATAAAAAAAAAAAAGAAAAAGAAAAAGAAAAAGAACTTACTCAAACTCGAAAATCCAATTTCATGGGGGAGGGGTGGGGCAACTTTTTTAAATGTCAACTTTCTTTCACTACCAATTGTTTTGCAAACAATACTACATTTCCCTGACATCATTTTACTATGGTAAGAAATGGGGGAGGGGCACAAACCTTTCAATAAACATATTCAATAGTATAGGTAATGTTGGGAAAAAGTGCCCCCCCCCGTTTGTTGCTTCGTGCCTGCGAAGCATCAAATCGGCCGCAAAAATTAGCTTTTTCGTTAAAAAAAAAAGAACAAAACGAAAACACAAGATTTCCAAAGTATTAAAATTATAAAAGTTAAAAAACAAGATAACCACCAGCTTCGCTAGCTAAGGGCTTGAGAAGGTGGTTAAACGGAAATAGCACGTAAACCAATTATTTAATGTAAATTACTTAATTTATATAAATCCACCAATGAACGATAAAAACGTTATAAATCAAAGTGAAAAATTTTACCAAACTTCTCTCAGTACCACGTTTTATTTTAAAAATCTACACTTCCCCTTCTTTGACTAGACTGCGACAAGTGCGTGTTGAAATAGGGGGGGGGGACCTTAAAAAAAATTTTAATATTTACAGATTATATAACTAATCAATATTCTCATAACTGAATAAAATCAAAATTTATATTTATTGAAAAACTAGAGGATCACGGATAACTGCGACTTAGCATGCCTTGCTTTCGACAGAGGGATTACCTAAAAACAAAAAAAAAACTAACGCACGAGGATTAGCATGACTAGCTATCGACGAAGAGATTAGCTCAAAAACTAAAGCACGAGGATTAGCTGATTCACAGCGATTTCTATGGAATTGTCCAGATCTAATCACTTAATTTTATATAGGGAAAATTCAGTAGAGGTATAATAAACGAAACTAACTTCACGTGCAAATATCATGAATCTTTGTCATGTGACAACGCCGATGTTCTTTCAAAATATATGCGGGGTGAAAAAAAAAATCGTTGTGTCATTTGAAACCAAGCAAAATATTACCTTACCATAACCCCCCCCCCCGGATACCACGTTGAATGAATCAGAGACAAACGCCCTATCTATGATGTTCTATACTTTATTTCAAGAAAACAAAAATGACAGACAGGTAAAATTACCAGTTAAATCCGTTTATGATACATGTATTTACAATTGGCACATACCGGTATAATGAATTAATCCAATGACCAAGTCACGAAACATCAGTACCGATTTTTTAAAATAAATGAAAATGCAATTCAATTATTAATTTCTTTTTAAATATTACTGTATCCCTGTAATATCTTTATTGGCATATTCATTGCATATATCATTGTCTTATAAACAAGTACTTAAGTTATCTGCATTGTTATTTGTCACACATCAGTACTGTAATGATTTGTCATATGAGTGATATTGTGGGGATCCAAATATCCCCCCCCCATTACCCTCAGGCTAATTTTTTTCATTAGGAGACCTCACTCTCTCTTAGCTTCTCATTTTATGTCCAGGCTCTATCTCCTATAAGAATGTACTCTACTATAAACTGACTTGCTAATCTTGTCTGCCCTCTTTCCCTTAGACCTGAAGTTGAACAGGTTACATTTGAGAGGAGTAACTCAAAATAAAAAGAGATAAACAAGTAGCCTCCCTTTTACTTTTTTTTCATGTGGCATGAAGGCGAGACTGGAATTACCTGCAACCATAAAGAGTTGTCACTATCTCGGTACATGTAGTAAGTTATTCGTTTTTACAATGTACATTGTATTAGTCTAATAAAGGCCCATCACAAAAATTACACGCGATCAAAAATCAATATATTTTCGCAAATTGTTTATTTCAATAGATCTATTTGAATTTTCAACTCGAATTTTCTAGGTTCAATACTTCGCTAGGCCTACATATGTAATAAACTCTCGGATCGGAAAATATTTTTCATAATAAACTTTTTAAAATTAAGCGGTCTTCTTGAAATGCAAACAGCAGTTTCTGAAATGCATGTTGGTTTCGGATAGGGCCTGTCTTTGTGCGCTTGTATCTTGACTCAGCCAAACGTAAATCATTTTTATCATTTATGAAGCCAGTCGATGCAGACTTCACGACATACACAATTTGTGTTTTGTAAAGGAGTAAAGCAATAATTTTCAGTTTATATATACATCCTGGTAGTTGCTACCGATGTAATTGTTTATGTTAAAAATATATTCTAGGACTAATTCCGACTTGGTGACAATAAAGTTTCTCGGGTGATCTCCCTTTGATTACATAGTGACCATGTAGACGAGATCGGGAGATAAAACATCAATACATTGTTTGTGAAATAAATAAGATTTGGGGGAAAGAGTATCCATTTTTTGAAAATATTTCAGCCTAATCAATGATAATGTAAACCTAGATCAGCTGCGCTTGACTAAAAAGTCTTGGGTTAGGAATGAGTCACCATTATTGCATCTTCATGCATTCATGCTTATAGAGACTCCGAGAGACTTTCGTACATTTTTCTGCACCACAACACAAAATAACTTATAATAAATGGTATATTTGCATTTAAAAACTAATTAAAATTTACAAAAGCAACATATAATCTTGTTTCTTTTTAATTAATTTGGGTAAACCCCCATTATTTCCACTTTGGTGGTCGGTGCGAAGAGATTTGAATCGAACGAAAATTAAATATTTCGATGTGGCCACACCCCTCGAACAAAATAAAATGACATTCTATTTGTTTATTTTTTAATTTTCTTTTTAATGGTGTGAATTTTATTTTGTTCAAAGGGTGTGGCCACAGCAAAAATTTGAATCAAAGACGAATAAAATGCTAAATTTTGATAAAAAGTGGCAAAGTTCACGTGTTTAGACGTTTTCTACACAAATATGACGTCATCAAATGAAAATTTTGGTGTAAACTATTCAAGTTTGATACCTAAGGATAATATTTCCGTAAATAATTTTCTTCTTCCCCTCACTTTATTTTTCCTAAAATCATTAGGCCGATTTAGCACATTCGTGGATTTAGCTCTTTACCAATTTTTCTATCACAATGCTTTTTTTATGATGGTTTTCCTGAAAGACGTCGACAGATTCATCATTTTGTCAATTTTTCCCAATAAAGAAATTCTTTTAGCAAATAGATATTTCTGATTTTCAAAAATGTTAATCTAAATATGGTGTGTTTGGTACACATATGTTACAAAATAAAATATGTAATCAAAAGCTCGATCTATTAAGGTCATACGCAGCATGCTTTACCTGATAATTT